GTGATCTGGAAGTCTGTTTTAGAGGCTTGTTTATGTGTCTTCTCATTTTGGGGGCAGGGTGGGGGGGCTGCTGCTGGCGCCCACGTGGCTCACCTCCTTTGTGCTGGAAGTGGTGGTAGGCTGCCCCAAAAGCTTCCTACTGTGCACTGGGAGCTGCACCAAGTTGACCCGGAAGCCCCCTCTGTGCTAGGAGTAGGTTGGCCCAGAAGCCTCCTATGCAAGCATATTCTTAATTCAGGGCTCTTAGCTCAGGAAGGCTTAAGCTTGTGATTGTGAATTCCACATATAGCCCCTTCCTCTGAGGATTACATATTTGTAGAACTTGAACCCACAGTGCTCCTGGGCTAATCATGAAGAACTTTTCTCATAGAAATCTCTTCTTTCCTATACAGAATCTTACTTGAAGGTAGAGACCCTATTTGGGCAAACCTATGAATATTGCCACTATCATTAATATCATTAAAGAAATCTTTTGTTAACCTTGGCTGTGTGTTATTCATTTTAATAAATGTTGTCATTTAGCCACTTCGATGTTATGAGTTGTAAGTAAGTGTTATCTTTTTGACATCTTATCATTAGGACGGGACCTCTGTGGGACCTTAAATCAGTAACTAACTTACCTGTGCCTTGGCTTCCTTTTCTCAAATTGAGAATAATCAGCCCACAAAATATCTTTGATCTATTCCAGTGCTAAGGTTCTATGAATAAAAGGTAAGTAAATAAGTTAGGGGTCTGTGGTTTTCTCTTCTCTTCCTTTTTCCTTACCATATAGAAAAATGTGACAGAATCAAAGAGGATATTAATTTTTTTCTACTTGATTTTTAAGTGATTCCTGTGCTCAGATAGGGTTTGAAAATTTACCTGAACAGAGGGGACTGGCAGCTTCTTTGGCCAGGCTATGAGGCAACTTCTCCAGGTATCAGCCTGCTGCTGGAAAAACACATGAGTTCCCTGGTGCTCTCTCCTGGTAGTCTGCACTGAGCATTGTACTGTGCATTGTGCATGATAGCTGGTATAATTTTTCAAAAAGTAAATTTACATCTCTCTTGCTTAATTGTTCCATCATGCTTTCTGTCTTCCATTTTCTGGAAAACACTAAGTTCTTACCAGTTGCAGGGCCCTTGCAACACCTTTATCTCTGCCTGAGTTGCTCCCTTTTATGCTTCCTTTCCCATCCTTTTCTCCTTGCTTCCTCATTTGGCTGGCTCCTTTCCATCTTTTAGATCTTAATTTCAATTCCTGTATTATTGACTTACCCGGCACTGGGAGAAAATATCAGGAACCTGCAACTAAAGGAGGAGAGAAGTTTATTTAGTTCATGATTTCAGTGGATTCAGTCCATAGTTGGCTGGCTCCAAGGCAGAAATGGCATGGTAGAGGATATGGTGGAGGAAAGTTGCTAGCCTCATGGCAGCTATGAAGCAGAAAGAAGGGAGCAGCTGGGGACAAGAAGATACCCTTCCAGATCATGCTCCAGTGACTCACCTCCAACCATTTTTGTTATCATAAATCTTTATCATAGAGCTTTGTACATCACAAACATAGCTTTAATTGTAATCTGGAAAATTTTTTTGTTTTCTTATTTATCATTTGCTTCCCCCAATAAAACTATAAGCTTGGTAAGAAAGGACTAGGGGCTGAGGATTTAGCTCAGTGGTTCCACCACCTGCCTTGCAAACGCAAGGTCCTGAGTTCAACCCCTGGTACCCTCCCCCCTCTAAAAAAAAAGACAGGACCATGCACTATATACTTGCCAGTGCTAGTACATAATACCTGCTCAATAAATATTTGTTGAATGGATGGAAGAACATTTTTGTTGCTACTTCAACAATTTTTTAAAGGATAATAATCATTTAATCTTAACATTTGCATGTATAAACATACCACTTTATACATACAGGGGAAAATAAGTTCTGCAGACACAACAGTTTTATCTGTATTTACTGTTGGTTTCTTAGATTTCCTGTGTTTCATCAGGAGGAGAGATGAAATCTATTACCAGTATGTAAAGAGCCTTTTATAGGGTAAGTATTCCAAATCCTTGTTTTTGAATAGTTTGTGTTTCAAAATATGAAAATTTCCTGCTTTCATATTTCTATTTTATCTGCAGATTGGATACAAAGGAATCTATAAAGCCATCAGTGAATTGGATATTCTTCTGTCCTGGATTAAAGAACTCTTAGAAAATATTTCATAAATCAAGAAGCCAACTACAACTGATTTGATAGTAATTTTTAAATACAATGAGAATCACTAGAAAACAATTTATAACTGCATATTCAGTTTTGAAAGTTTTATATATATTACTGATAGTTGGTTAGGTGCTTCAGAATAGATGAGAGAGATTTAACGTAATAAAATTTGGAGATAAGTAAATTGTCACAAATTTGTACATTTTCTTCAGAGAATGTTTTCACCTTGATCAAATTTCATTATTTGCAAGTACATTGTATAAATCTATTATTTAAAGATGTATACTCATATATGAGCTGTGAAGAAAAATATGGTGAATATTTAAATTTACAGTAAAAGATACTTTGCCATGAGTCTCCCTCAAAATAATCTTCCTTGCTTGAACTGCATTTATTCCATTATTCTTGCCATTTTCTGAAGAACTTCTGGAATACTCTTTCATGAGTGTCTTTAATTGCATTGTTATGGCTGCCTCAATGTCCTGAATCAAATAAAAATATTTATTTTTCATTGTCATTTTTTTTGGAGGTTAAGGGAGTTTTACTGGAAATAATAAAGGAATAGTTTCTAAATTTTCGGGAAGGGTTTCAGTGGGTGGCCTTCATTGGCTCTTTTTTCACTTAGGGGAAGAGGGAGAAATCATATGATTCCAGGTTCAGTGAATAAGGTGGAAGATTAATGTAATGTTTTTACGAACCTTTTGGTTGAGTGGCATTGGGGAACAGCATTCACTATATTTTTGATCACAACTCATAAAGACATTCACAAATGAGGACTTCCAGAACTGTTTCAGAAAGTGTCAAGAATGATGGGACAAATGTGTTTGAAGCAAAGGGGAGTATTTTGAGACAAGTTAATGGTAATGTACTAATTTGCTGTAATAAATTTTTAAAATGTAAAGATTCACCATATATTGTGATCACACCTCATATTATTTGTGGAAGAAAGATGACAGATTTCTGAGATACAATACAATGTTACTGAGACTTAAATAAACCCTATATGAATGACTATTGTCTATTTAAGGATATGATGACTACAAGTTATGCCCAGCGTGAATTTGCTTTAACATTTTGAACTTAATTGAACACTGTTTTTTCTGCTGGATGTCCTTTCCATGACAATAGACTATAATTTTATTGGGTGCCATTGGTAAGAGCTGTATGACACCAGGTCCAGGGATATAGCTCAGCAGTACAGCCCCTGCCTGGCAAGCTTGAGGTCCTAAGTTCCATCCTTGGTATGAGAAAAAAAAAAGAATCATATGAAATCAAATAGGATGTATAAGTCTAGTTAACTACTTGGAATGATTTACCAGGAATACCTTTAACAGATACCCAAGCCAAAAAAACTACAAGTAACCAATTTGAAATTACACTGAAATTTGATGACATTCCTTCTGCATGCTATACAGTTAGAAACATTGAGAGAGGCCATATAAAAGCCAAAATGCAGCTCTGAGGCCACTCCTTAATGTCTAAAACCTTATTTGCACAGTTATCCCTTTAGTTAATTGAATAATTCATTGAAGGGACTCTGCTTCACCACTGTTGGGACATGGCACAGGGCACACGAGCAGTTTCTGAGAGTGCATCCCGATCACTAGCCAGTTCTGTCCTCATCACTGTGCATCCACACCCATGTGATTTGGTGTCCTGTGGAATGAATGGGCAGGGCTTCAACAAGGCTTTCATGGATGGTGACCTTGGCAACTGCCCATTGCTTTCCCATCATCTAGTTCTTTTCAATCCTTGTGATCCATGTGATCCTTACATTCATGAGGATCCATCTCTCTTGATTGATCTTATATGCCAGAGTTACCCTTTTCTGCCTTCCTTAACAACCCATCATGGTCCCATGTCTTGCTTCTGTTGGGGACCTCACTATTAGCAGGTGCACAGCATGGAAGGTATGGAGAAGGGATGATGAGCTGGAGCCTGCAGGATTGTCTTCATCTCATGCCCGGACCTAGGATTTAGGCAGGCTCTTAGATTATCAGTAGTGGCGCAGCCTTTTTTCCTGAGGATATTTGCGAAAGCTGGGATCCAGGGGACCAGGAATCTTTTCTCCGACTTGGTTGTGGACCAGAGAGGAGATGGTGGCCTCAAAGTCCCTGCTTGCTCTACTTTAAGGCACTTGATGCTTTTCAGAACTAGGCTCCCTGCATGGCTGAGTTAGGTGTAAGCTACCCCATTTACTGAGAGTCTCTAGATATCAGTGAGGCTGGGAAGCTTTCATTTTCCAATTAACAGAGGAGTATTTATTATATGCATTTCAATGACACGATTTTAGATTTTTTTGTTTCCCAAAGGTTTTTGGTTGCTTAGAACAGTTGAAAGGTGGCTTAGTCAGCAGCAACACTGTACAGAAATTGACAAGTCATGAGTGAATAAAGAACCAATGTCCATGGGTTGGTGCTTCTTTACAAATAAGCTATTTTCAGACTCCAAGGGAACAAGTACAGTTTGTTGTGTTTGAGTAGAGAGTACATTATTGAAGAGGCAGCTGAGAAGGGAACAGCTGGTGTCTTTGTGTTCAGGGAGGGGACTATGTTTTGGAAAGGTCACTGTGGCCTCAGGGATGAAGCCCTCTGATGTACTGGTCCCACTCTGGACTTTATCAGAACCAGACATGATTCCTTTCGGGGAATGGCTTGACTATCTTGAATGCGCATGTAATGTATAAACCCATTTAGGGGTTATAGAAGGAGATTCCTACTTGTTGGATCATTTCTAGGAGACTATCTATCGCATTAAAATGTTGCATCTGTGAGGATATATTAGGCAATGAAGCAAATCCTCAGCGCAGGGTAGAGTAGAAGTAGCCTGAGTATCAGTGAGCAGTGCCGAGTGTGGTAAAGATCCGTTGGCGAGTTCAGGAGACCTGGCCAGCCCTGACTTCTTCACATCACACAAAACTGCACCCTCCCTGACAAATCTCTCTCCCTGCTTTACTTTTCTCTGAGCCACTATGTCTCCTGCCAGCGTCTGTTTGTTTATTGCCTGTTTCTTCAGCGTCTGAATACTGGCTCTGTGGGATGGGGCTTGGGTTTGCTTTATTCTCTATAACGTCCCTAGCACCTGAACAGAGCCACACAGGACAATACACAAGCATGCGGGGAATGTGCTGGACCAGGAGACAGTGGTGGGGCCTGGGTCTGTGAATGGTCTTAGGATTTGTGGTCAAGTCCCATTGCCTCCTGGGTCTTTGTTTGTGAAACGGTCCTGATTGCAATTAGTTGCCATGGTGCCCCATGTAGACATCCTGTAGCCTTGTGTAGTCCACACTCTCAGGTCTCCCCTACTCTGTTTTTTTCCTGTCACCTGTTTCCAACACTAACTCCAGGCCCTGCTTTGCCTGGTTAATTTCTCCTGATCCTTTAAGATTTCATTCCAACATCACCCTACTGTTAACGGATTTATACATGCTGTATGTCTTCATAGAACTTACACAATTATAATTCCTTTACTGAGTGTGTATTTAATGCCTGTCTCTCTGTCTGGCCTGTCTCTCTGATTCACTGCAGTTCTGCCTACGATCTTACACATAGTGAATACACAGTAAATATTTGTTGAGTGATTAAGTGAATAAAATAGGAAATCGAATTAGATGGTCTCCAAGGTTTCTTCCACCTTGGCATTCTCTGCTGCCATAATTTCACTAGTTGACACAAACCTTGAGGATTGCAGTGTTTCCCAGATTTAATTTTTTAAGAGCACCTATTCTATGACTAGCACAGCAATGAATTTAAATTGACATATTTTACTTCCTCTAAATGAAAAGTAAATAAATATCTGACTCAAAAAATAGGTTTCTAAGATTATTCTTAACTAAAATGCCTTCACATGCAGACCATTTGGAATCATCTTGCAAACCTCTGGGTAAAATGTGTCTGATACACTGGGAAACACTTCGTTATTATGAATTTCCACTGTCTCATTCTGGTCCAACTTAGAAGTATATGAAATTGGAACCAGACCATTTTTACCTACCTACAGATACCAGTTTAGAAAAAGTCAAGCCTCCATGGTCAGATTTCAAACTGGTTTCAGCACTCCTGTCATTTTTTCCGGAGATGGAGGGAGACAAGCGTACTCACCCAGTCAGTCGTTCCATGGGTCTGATGACTGTGGCTCTTGACACAGGATGGTGGCGTGGTCATATGGCTCTCTTCATTCCCCATCATCCCTGCTCAGATAGCCTTGGTGGATGCAGCTCCTAGAAAGGGAGCTATAAGATGTACTGCTTTATGATTAATCAAGCTTTTGGATTGTTCAAATGTTGCACACAGTGATAGGAACAAAAAGTGAAAGCCTGGTCATGCAGAACAGGAAGAGCATCAGACCGTTTTACAACTGTAGAAATGTGATGTTAATGAGTATACATCATTAGAATCCACAAGAATTGATTCCTTTCACCATGGTTGAGTTACTAACTACGGTAGAAACCAATTGGTTCTCTAAACACTTACTGAATGCTTACAATCTGCTACTCACACAGTCACAGTGAGGTTAGTGATGATAAATAAAACTTACTTTCTTTCTATCAATTGCTGGGTAGAGAGACATATATGAAGACAATCAAACAGACAGTGTAATGCACGCAATCAAAGAAATATATACAAAGTGCAAGGTAGTAGAGGTCCACACACATTTTGCTGAAGAGATGAGGTTTGAGATAACTTACACTTTGAGACTTGTTCAATGTCACCTCTTTCAGCAAACCTTCCTTGGTCCCTTATACCAGCCATTCCTAGGCTGGGTTAGATGCCTCTTGTATAGCATATTTTCAGAATAACATTTTTACATTGCACTGTAATTTTCTGTGTTCTTGCTTATCTTCTCCGTGAAGGTGCAGACTTTTATTCAGCACTATCTTTTCAGTCCCTAACATAGAGTTTGTTTCACAAGCAGGGATCCAGGAATTAGTTTTTAAAATGAAACAATGAAATTTAAAAAAGGTACTAGGGCCTGCAAAAAGGGAAATAGGTTTGGGAGTATTAGGAAGATAAATTTGACAGGACTTGATGGCTACTGGATTAGAGGTGCCCAGTGCTATATTAGTCAGATTTTTTTCTCAAATACTCAACATATATAACTTAGAGGAGGAAAGGTTTATTTTTGATTATGTCTTCAGAGAATTCAGTCCATGGTCAGCTGCTGACTGCAAGGCAGAAACATCATGGTGGAGGGGCATGGTGGAACTGGTTCTAACTTCATGGTGGCTGGGAAGCAGAACAACTTGGAACAAGCAGCAGAAAGGAAAGGTCCAGGAATCAGATGTAGTTCCCAAGGCCACACCCCACGACCCACAGGGACACACCCAGAAATGTGCTTCACTAATCTTCTAGGCATTTCTTAATCTGGTCAAGTTGGCCACCATGATTAAACATCACAGGTGCTGAGGAAGGAATCTAGGATGACACTAAGGTTTTATGTTTTCCACTGATTTTATAGAAAATGAAGACTCATAAAAATGCACTGTAAATGAGATTTCAGCATCTCATTTTGGCAAAAAAAAATGTTTTGGGATTTGGACTTCCTAGATGTAAAGAATTTCACAATTTGAACTAAGTATTGTCCATCTTATACCAGATTCCTCTTTGTAACACTGCCCCTACCCAGCATGTGCTTGGCCACTTACTATTAGGAGAGACTATTAGGAGAGGTTTCTTGAACAGCCCTCTGTGTCTCTAAATAATCCTGTTTATTAGGAAATTACTTATACAGATCTGAAATCTGTCCTCTTGAAACTTATACATTTTTCTCTAGTTCCATAACTTAGGGTGTGGAATG